AGAAATCTTTGTGTATATATGAGTTTTTCTCTTGAACAGATACTTAGAAGTAGAACTGACAGTTGAAAGCTGTGGACCTTTTACTATTGAATTTAGTGAATAAATATTAAGAGGTTCGAGCTTATCAGTAGATAAGTGAATGCAAAATAAAATGAAATCCCATTTTCATCCGTAATTTTGGCAAAGATATTGCCAAGAGTGTGAATAAATACTGATACAAAAAGAACTTCAAATAATTTTGATAAATGAAAAGGCAAATTTCAGGAAAACACATACCCAATGATACTATCTATGATTTTTTAAAAAACTGACCACCACAAAGCAAAGCTATTTAAATTCAGTATATACATACTGAATTTAAATAGCCCCCCAAAAAGTTCAGGAAGGACACCCACCAAAATAATAACAAGTATTAGCCCTGGGGGAGAGACCTGTGCAGCAGTGGTGAGGAATGAGGAAGCCCAGGGGACCTCTTGATCACAGTGTTGGAATTTAATACAAAGACAACATATTCAAGTATTAATTATGCAAGGAAAACAAAGAAAAATGTTTATAAAAGTTAATCCATTGAATTCTGCTTGTAAACTAAAAAAAAAAATAAACTGACTTCTAAACCTAGTGTCTAACCATTTTAAAATAAAAAGGTTATAGGTCATCAGTTATCTGTTTCCATCTCACTAGGTTTTTTCCCTCAATATGAGGAAATTCAGATGAATTTAATAAAGACTTGGCAAGAAGAGAAAGTAGCCTGAAAACATGCCACATCAATGAGCAAGAGTCAACATAAAAAAAAAGGAAATGCAATCTGTTCGATCTAATGAAAGGATAAAATCAGTATACAATATTCCCACTTGGTATCAAAGGTCCAGAAAAGAAACAACTATCTGAATTTGGCTTTAACTCCTAACACAGATTCACTCTTTAGACATAAATTTCTTCTGTAGGAATAGAGAATGGTGCCTTCTGAGTGAGAAATTTAGAAGGCTCATTGGACAGACTTTTAAAAGACTACAGAAACACAGGATTCAGAATTGCCAACAATATAAAGGGTTAAGTGCTCCCCAAATTGTTTTGCAACGTGGCACAGGGAGTACACAGTAATGTTTATATGTCACTCGCTGGAAACAAATGAGGCTGCTCACAGCAGGACATAGGCCTGAGAGCTGTGACAGGCCCCACACTGTGGCTGACCTGAAGACCCAGAGCACCGGGGCAGCCCTGCGACTGGGTCATGGCATACCCCGGGCCCTGGCACACCCCTTGAGAAGGTTGTCCTAGGTCAGCCTTTCACTCAATACAGATACTCTACAAATAGCCTTTCTTGTTCAGCACTAACAATATGATGCTGGCTCATCACTATGCAGGACTTGTAAACAGAAGACCAGGTGAAATCCAAGTGGTTGGGACTGTATGATTTAGTTCTCTGAGAAAGATCAAAGGGAAACTCTACAGGTGCACTGCACCTACAGGTACAGGATCCAAACCCAAAAGGTCCTCACACATCATCCATACAACCAAAACTAGTCTTCTTGTTTGAAAGCAACAACTCTTCTCTTGCCTTTCTGCAGAGTTGGGTGCTCTCTGACAAACCGTTCTTTGCAAGTGTGAGACAGCTGCTGCTACCCTAGGCAACTAGCACTAAAAAATTTGGTATCATCACAGGTAGGGTCTTCAATAAAGACAAAAAGCTCTCCACTACACAATGAAAATATGTCAACTAAAAAAATAAATAAATAATACGGACTTAACTGGTGGCGCACAGGTTAAGAATCCGCCTGCCAGTGCTGGGGACACGGGTTCGAGCTCTAGTCAGGAAAGGTCCCACATGCCACGGAGCAATGAAGCCCGTGCACCACAACTACTGAGCCTGCACTCTAGAGCCCACGAGCCACACCTACTGAGCCCACGAGCCACAGCTACTGAAGCCCGTGCGCCTAGAGCCCGTGCTCCGCAACAAGAGAAGCCACCACAATGAGAAGCCCATGCACCACAACAAAGAGTAGTCCATTCGCTGCAACTAGAGAAAGCCCACACGCAGCAACAAAGACCCAAAGCAGCCAAAAATAAATAAATAAATTTATTTTTTTTAAAAAATAATTCTAAGAAAAGCAGAAAAATTATAGTCTATAAATACTACAGAGTTTTAATAAATAACTGTTCAGTACAATGAGGCGAGAACTGACTTTTTAAAAGTATATGTGTTTATTTTTGTGTATGGTGTTAGGGAGTGTTCTAATTTCATTCTTTTACATGTAGTTGTCCAGTTTTCCCAGCACCACTTATTGAAGAGGCTGTCTTCTCTCCATTGTATATTCTTGCCTCCTTTGTCATAGATTAGGGGACCATAAGTGTGTGGGTTTATCTCTGGGCTTTCTATCCTGTTCCACTGAGCTATATTGCTGTTTTTGTGCCAGCGCCATACTGTCTTGATGACTGTAGCTTTGTAGTATAGTCTGAAGTCAGGGAGCCTGATTCTGCCAGATCTGTTTTTCTCTCTCAAGATTAATTTGGTCATTCAGGGTCTTTTGTGTTTCCACACAAACTGTGAAACTTTCTGTTCTAGTTCTGTGAAAAATGACATTGGTAGTTTGATAGGGACTGCAATGAATCTGTAGATTGCTTTGGGCAGTAGAGTCATTTATACAAAAATAAACTCAAAATGGATTAAAGTCTAAATGTAAGGTCAGACACTATAAAACTCTTAGAGGAAAACATAGGCAGAACACTCTATGACATAAATCACAGCAAGATCCTTTCTGACCCACCTCCCAGAGAAACAGAAATAAAAACAAAAATAAACAAATGGGACCTAATGAAATTTCAAAGCTTTTGCACAGCAAAGGAAACCATAAACAAGACCAAAAGACAACCCTCAGAATGGGAGAAAATATTTGCAAACAAATCAACGGACAAAGGATTAATCTCCAAAATATACAAGCAGCTCATGCAGCTCAATATCAAAAAAAAAGAGCCCTCAGAATGGGAGAAAATATTTGCAAATGAATCAACTGACAAAGGATTAATCTCTAAAATTTACAGGCAGCTCATGCAGCTCAATAACAAAAAAATAAACAACCCAATCCAAAAATGGGGCAGAAGACCTAAACAGACATTTCTCCAAAGGAGATATACAGATTGCCAACAAACACATGAAAGAATGCTCAACATCATTAATATTAGAGAAATGCAAATCAAAACTACAATGAGGTATCACCTCACACCAGTCAGAATGGCCATCATCAAAATATCTATAAACAATAAATGCTAGAGAGGGTGTGGAGAAAACAGAACACTCCTGCCCTGCTAGTGGGAATGTGAATTGGTACAGCCACTATGGAGAACAGTATGGAGGTTCCTTAAAAAACTACAAATAGAACTACCATATGACCCAGCAATCCCACTACTGGGCATATACCCTGAGAAGACCATAATTCAAAAAGAGTCATTTACCACAATGTTCATTGCAGCTCTATTTACAATAGCCCGGAGATGGAAACAACCTAAGTGCCCATCATTGGACGACTGGATAAAGAAGATGTGGCTCATATATACAATAGAATATTACTCAGCCATAAAAAGAAACAAAATTGAGCTATTTGTAATGAGGTGGATAGACCTAGAGTCTGTCATACGAAGTGAAGTAAGTCAGAAAGAGAAAGACAAATACCGTATGCTAACACATATATATGGAATTTAAGGAAAAAAAATGTCATGAAGAACCTAGGGGCAAGACAGGAATAAAGACACAGACCTACTGGAGAACAGACTTGAGGATACGGGGAGGGGGAAGGGTGAGCTGTGACAAAGCAAGAGAGATGCATGGACATATATACACTACCAAACGTAAGGTAGATAGCTAGTGGGAAGCAGCCGCATAGCACAGGGATATCAGCTCGGTGCTTTGTGACCGCCTGGAGCGGTGGAATAGGGAGGGTAGGAGGGAGGAAGACGCAAGAGGGAAGAGATATGGGAACATATGTATATGTATAACTGGTTCACTTTGTTATAAAGCGGAAACTAACACACCATTGTAAAGCAATTATACCTCAATAAAGATGTTAAAAAAAAAAAAAAGAACCATGTACCACAATGTTCATTGCAGCTCTATTTATAATAGCCAGGACATGGAAGCAACCTAAGTGTCCATCGACAGATGAAGGGATAAAGAAGACGTGGCACATATATACAATGGAATATTACTCAGCCATAAAAAGAAATGAAATCGAGTTATTTGTAGTGAGGTGGATGGACCTAGAGACTGTCATACAGAGTGAAGTAAGTCAGAAAGAGAAAAACAAATACCATATGCTAACACATACATGGAATGGAATGTATGTGGAATCTAAAAAAAAAAAAAAAAAAATGGTTCTGATGAACCCAGGGGCAGGACAGGAATAAAGACACAGACGTAGAGAATGGACTTGAGGACGCGGGGAGGGGGAAGGGTAAGCTGGGACAAAGTGAGAGAGTAGCACTGACATATATACACTACCAAATGTAAAACAGATGGCTAGTGGGAAGCAGCCGCATAGCACAGGGAGATCAGCTCAGTGCTTTGTGACCACCTAGAAGGGTGGGATGGGGAGGGTAGGAGGGAGACGCAAGAGGGAGGGGACATGGGGATATATGTATACATATAGTTGATTCTCTTTGTTATACAGCAGAAACTAACACAACATTGTAAAGCAATTATACTCTAATAAAGATGTTAAAAAGAATAAAAGTATATGCGTTAGTATTTTCTCTTTAAAGAATTTATCATTTTAAAGCATTATGAATTCCACAGTATGCAAGCTCTAATAAAGAATAAAAACTTGAGAACATGACCCAAAACACCATAGATGATGGATACTACAAACCATAAAACATGAAAATTTACCACTTTGGTAACTCAAACATAAGCCTTGTAGAATCTCATCATCTTTAACAACATTTTCAGAACACAGAAAATTCACTTTCTAGATGAGAAACAAAGAAAAGAAAATTTGAAGTGACAGTACCTGGTAAAAGTTGGGTTGTGTTCAGTCATGGCAACTAGCAGCTTCAGAGCATATGCTGGTACGGGGTCAGGCTCCGTGAGGATGTGCTCGTACCTGAAATGACAACGTGATTAAAAACACTCAGTGCTTTTGTCACTTAACATTTCCTCTGAACAACAGAAACAATATTCCATGTTTTAAACATGTGGAAGAAAATAGATACTGAAATAAATGTATGAGATATAGGACCGGCACTTGCCAATGGTGGTGATGATACTGACCTACCTACCTCACAGAGCAGGGATGTTGGGAAAGTTCAATGAGACAATGCAGGTAAAATGATTAGTATTGAGCTGCGCACACAGTAAGAGGCCCAGAAACATCAGGCATTTGTGTCGGGTGTCGCAAGACCACCCTCACATTTGGGGATTCTAGAGGACTCATGAGACTCACATACAGTTGTATTTATAGTACAGACTTTATACAGCAGCACAACAAGGGCACACAGCTGAGTCATAAGGGAGACAGACACAGGTGGAGGCTGGAAGATTCTACGTCCAACCTTCTTATCCTCTCTCCCTCCTACGAGCAGTCACACAGAGCACACTCTCCCCTCAGCCACAAAAACGCAGCATGTGTGCGTGATGTTACTGCCCAAGGGCCCATTAGACACTCAAGTGACCTAGGTATTTATCACGTGGGGCTGGTCGCATAGGCAACCTAACATGTATCAAAAATCCCAGACTCCAATAATGAAAGCAGGCATCCAGCATAAACCAGACTGTCTGCACAAACAGTCTGGGCACAGTGGACTACCCTCATCAGTTAAACACTGACTGGCAGCTCTCTGAGAGCCAAGTTCCAAGATGGCAGCCGAGGCCAACCTTGCAAGCAGGGCTTTCTCAGGAGAGCAGTCTCAGATCTGCTATGTCAACTCTTTGTGAATGGCATTCTTATTAATACTTTAGAACCTGAAATGAAAAGTATTACCAGAGAGAATAAAACTCAAAATGTCTTCTTCAAAAGTTCCCACTGCACTCCCATGTTATTTGCTAGATACAGAGCTGGCCTGCACACTGTGTGTGACCTACTTAGGTTCAGCTATCCAGTAAACAATACCATGTAGATGCTCAATTAATAAGCACCAAATGAATGAATGAATAAATGGACAAAGTAACCAATCAACTTTACGACTTAACTCTCCAGAACAACCAACTAACGAGGGAGCAAAACATCTCCAAAAATCCAAAATGTGTATTTAAAACTCCATGACATGAAGCAGATGCTTTATCCTCTAGAGAAGAGGGCCCCAGGCTCTTACTCAGAGCCTATTTACTCTCATTTTGGAAATCATTACATAACAAGCTTAATTATGCAGCCTCTAAGCCCTAAGCCCTTTAAAGCCTCTAAGTCTTTAAAAAAGGAGCCAATAAAGGGAGGAGAGGGACTATTACAGAAAGACAACCCAAGAATTACAAGAAGTGGGGCTTGAAAGCATAGGAAAAACAAAAGAAAGCAAACCCAAGAACTCCTAGCAGAAAGCAGCCCAGGGAGAATTTAACGCAGAGGAAGCAGCCGCTCATCCCCCAGTGGGACCTGAGGGCCCATTACACACCGTAATGTTCAAAACGGGGGTAGTGGGCTTCCCTGGTGGTGCAATAGTTGAGGGTCCGCCTGCTGATGCAGGGGACACGGGTTCGTGCCCTGGTCCGGGAAGATCCCACATGTCGCGGAGCGGCTGGGCCCCCCAGCCACGGACGCAGAGCATGCGCGTCCGGAGCCTGTGCTCCGCAACGGGAGAGGCCACAGCAGTGAGAGGCCCCGTACAGCAAAAAAAACAAAAAACAAAAAAACAAAAAGAAACGGGGGTAGTGAGTCAAGAAAATGTTAAACTGGGTAGAACACTCTGTTTAAGGAGCCAGGAAGTACCATATTTTAGTCATTTTTCTTATGAAATATTTTAAAACTACAGCAATTAAAGATTCACCCATGTACAACAAAGAGAGAAGACAAAATACCAATCGTTCATAAATAAAATATTAACAAATAAAAATCAAATTGAGGCAAACCAGACAGACATTTTATCATACGAATAAAACAAAAATCAAGGAACATCTTTAGAGGTGATAAAAATGTATTTGTAAAATTAACATACAATTCGAAATTTTTTAAAAAAGGAACAACTCAGCATTTTCCTTTTCTTAATAGTCTTATAAAATAGAAAGCTCTTATCATCCTCAATTGGGGGCACCCAAGACTACCTTTAGGTTCAAGGATTTGCTAGACGGACTCACAGCACTCAGGAAAGCTGTTACGTTCCCGATTGCGGTTTATTACAGAGAAGGGATACTGGTTAAAATCAGCAAAGATGAAAGGCACATAGTACAAAGTGCAGGAGGGACCAGGCACAAGCTTCTAGCTGTCCTCTCCCAGTGGAGTTGTGTGGACAGAGCTTAATCGTCCCAGCAACGATGCGTGACAACACGTGTGGAGTACGGCCAGCCAGGGAAGCACTGGCATCCAGGGTTTTATTAGCAGTCAGTCCCTTGGGTGTGGAATGCCTGTGCGGCTAACCTCTGTCTCCAGCCCCTCCAAGGGTCAAGCTGATATGGTGTGGCCTAATGCCCCGCCTTAATTCACAGTGTCAGTGTGAATTATCTGGCATGGCTCAAGGCCCCAGGGATACAGACTCTCTTATCAGGAAGGATACTCCAAAGGCTCAGAAGTACTCTTCCAGAAGGGAGTCAAGAGCCAGTTTCTTCATAACGTGCAGGGTTTGAACCACCCCACATCTGCTGAGCTAAGCGTTTGCAGCACACATCCTTAACAGGGAAACTGAGGCACTGCTGAGTTTATAGTGAGGCATTAAAGTCAGAGATAAGAGAAGAATGCACTCTTCCACTGATTACTGGTATTTGCAAATTGTCAGCCAGAGAATTTCAACAGAAGTAGGGATAGGAAGCTTCTTAGGAGTCACTCACATACCCCAGATGACCAGCTCCCCTCGTCCCCACTCCCAGACTTACTGGAATCACTGAGGAAAGGACCACAAAACTATGAATTTTAAAAAGCTGCCCATGGGATGTCCTTACCCACATGCTTGTATAGAAAGCAGAGGAGAAGATATGGACAATTAGTTAGAAATATAATAGAGAAAATCTCAAGAGGGCTGAAAAATATGACATATTTTTAAAGGGACTTAAGAATATGTAGAACCACGTAGCAGTACATATAATAGTGAAATACTGGGAAAATCCTAGATATTTACTAACCAGGAATTGTTTAATGATTTTAAAACATTTATAAATGTAGGTATAGGTAAGGTAGGTATAGGTAAGACAGTCAATAAAAGAGTGTTATATAAGTATAGATACAGATATTCACAGTATGATGTCTGGGGGTAGGAGGAAGACACAGGTTCCAAGGCGGAAATTTCAGAAAGTACTAAGCAAATCTCACCAGGAATGGAGAAACCATACAGTGGAGAAGGCAGATGTTAACATAAAATGGTAGGCAAGAGGCAAAACACTGAGAGTCCTGAATGGCTGGGTAAGAACTATTAATGTTATTTTCTGCAACCTAAAGGTTTCAAGGTTTCTGAGCAAAGGAAGCTATGAGGAAGGCATTATGTTAAAATGCATTTGTAACAGTGCAAGGTGGATTCCAGGCTTAAAGAGTTTAAAGGAAGGAGATGTGTGGGGTTAGATAAAGAGAAGGCTACAGCAAAAGCATGGAGGTGAAATCTACCTTTGGAGAAGGCTGAGGACTTTGCCTGGACTGCTATGAGAAAGGGGAAGACAGCCTACTCTTTTGGGCATTTTCTGTAAAGGTTCTTCCAACATTTGTACTAGGTGATATCTTGAGTCAACTCCAAAATTTCATGAACTGAGAAAGGGCATAAATCAAATAAATAGTTGATATCTTGAGACTTTCCAATCTTGTGTTTTTATGTTACCTAAGTTCTACGCGACACTCTATTGTCTTGCATGGATGCACAGATACTTAAGCATATCAGTAGTTACATGGATACATAAGTGGATGGAGAAATAAACAAATGGTGGGAAGATACATATATACATATATATATATATTACACTTTTTTTTTTTTTTTTTTTTTTTTTTTTTTTGCGGTACGCGGGCCTCTCACCGTTGCGGCCTCTCCCGCTGCGGAGCACAGGCCCCAGACGCGCAGGCCCAGCGGCCACGGCTTACGGGCCCAGGCGCTCCGCGGCACGCGGGATCCTCCCGGGCCGGGGCCCGAGCCCGCGTCCCCTGCATCGGCAGGCGGACTCCCAACCACTGCGCCACCAGGGAAGCCCTATATTACACTTTTTAAGTGAGAAAAAGGTAAGATTTCAAAATAAGTATTAAATATAATTTCAGATAGTAAGCCCTAATGTCCGGGCTTCTTCGATAGAATCAACGGCAAATTTTCATTATGAAGGCCTGAAAGGCTAAAAAAAACCAACCAAACAATGACTTCACTAAAGCAACACTTAAGGTTTACAAAATATTATCCAAAGAACTGGATCACTAGAATTATTCCGATTCAGAAGGATGAAAGTGCCTTTACCTTTACTCTAACTCCCAAATTATCCCAATTCAGATTCCCATAGGTTGCACCCCCAAAAGAGGAAAAATCACTCCACCTAAATGCACTGATTTAGGTACACACTCAAAACATAAAAGGATTAAGTAAAAAGAACAAAGTGGAACTTTCTTTTGGTGCAAAAATATTTAATTAAATATTATCTGCAAAAAAAACCTTATCTAAGGAATGGCCAAAAATGAAATACTCCTATATATTCTAATTCCCATCAAAGATGGTCAAGTTCATGCCTATTTTAACATAGAATACGTGTAGTTAAGGGAGACATAGATGCAATACAGAAACATCTGGATGTCCTCCGAGCCACCAACACAAAAATCAGGTACTGAAACTCATGACTTTGCTGGATATTATTTCAGAGACATCAACTCCACAGTGTGTTGCAACTAATAAAATCCATTTATAAATTCAAATTTCTAAAAGGAAATACAATTCTAAGTTGTCAAGGATACAGTCCTTTCTGAGATTTTAAAAAACAAAGCCTTAATAATTTATGAAGTCATTA